ATCACCTTGGAAATGTTCAAAGAAGCATCATTCATAATAGCCAAAAAGTAAAAACAACTGGAATGTCCATCAAATGAGAAATGGATAAATAAAATGTGGTATATCCAAACAACGGAATATTATTTGGCAATAAAAAGGAAGGAAGTACCAGTTCGTGCTACAATATGGATGAATCTTGAAAACATTATGCTGAATATAAGAAGTCACAAAAGATCACGTATTATATGATTGCATTTATATGAAATGTCCAGAATATGCAAAAATATATAGAGAGAAAATAGATTAGTAGTTGCCTAGAAGTGAGGATGGCAAGACTTCCTCTCATGTACTTTGGACACGTTATCAGGAGGGACCAGTCCCTGGAGAAGGACATCATGCTTGGTAAAGCAGAGAGGGTCAGCGAAAAAGAGGAAGATCCTCAATGAGATGGACTGACACAGTGGCTGCAACAATGGGCTCAAACATAGCAATGATTGTGAGGATGGCGCAAGACCGGACAGTGTTTCATTCCGTTACATAAAGGGTCACTATGAGTTGGAACCAACCTGATGGCGCCTAACAACAAGGGCTGGGGGAAAAGAGGAGTGACTGCTAACGGGTATGAGGATTTTTTGGGAAGGTGATGAAAATGTCCTAAAATTAATTATACCAATGTTTTTGCATAACTCTGTGAATATACTAAAAACCATTGAATTGTATGCTCTAAATAGATGAATTGTATGGCATGTGAATTAGGCTGTTATTTAAAAAATTTGAGATAAATTTCTGTCTTTATGCATACACACGCAAAGAAAGATTATAGGGTTTTACTTAATTCTTTTGATTTTATATTTGTTTCTCTTTCCTCTTACACTAAAAGTCTTGGTTCCTAATAACATTGATATCATTACTTGTTTTACCTATATTATTTAAATCTGTCTATATACACATACATACACACACACATATGCATAGAAACATAAAATAGTATTTGAATAATAATATCAAAATTATCCAAAGGCTATTTCTTTCTTTAGTGTAAGAATATTCTGTAGTTCTTTTTATTCTTAACCTATAATCCACTAGGGAAGTATAGTAAATTTACTATATTGCAAAATTATTTGATATGATTCTTGAGTGTTTCTAAGTCACCAACCTGATACACTGTTAGGCTTGCTTGTTTCATTTTAGCTATTTTATACAGATCACTTTTTCCTCCATTTTAAGTTTATTTTTTAATTATGTATTCTATTTACATAGTTATAATATCAAAACAAGGTATAATTAGAGAAGGCTGGCTTCTATCCCTCTCCTCTCCAACCTGTCTTTTTCTCTTCTCCTATTGGTAACCATTTTATTTATGATTTATTTCCCATTTTTAAACAAATCATAGGCAAATGCATAAATGATAGCATCTTATATAGCTGACTCTAACTTTTTTTTTTTTTAACTGAACATTACATCCTGGAGATCACTTTCTATATGGGTATTCCTTTTTTCACCTGCATGGTACTCCAGTATGTGAGCCTGGACACCCAACATATGGATGTACCATAATTTATTCACCCAGGCTACACTGATAAACAGATAAGCTGTTTTAACTACTTGAATATTATCAATTATGGCTGTGTAATATTCCATTGTATGTATGTACCACATTTTGTTTATCTATTTTCATCTGCTGAAGGACATTTAGATTGTTTCTACTTGTTGGTTATTATGAAAAGTGCTACAATGAACACTGGTGTATAGGTTTCCCTAGTATTTTTCATTGGCTGATTTTTGGAAGTAGATTGCCAGGCTTTTCTTCCTAGTCTGTCTGCCTTACTCTTGGGGCTACGCTTGAGGTACATTCACTGGTCACTGAACCTGGGTCTCCAGCATAGATGGCAAGAATTCTACCACTAAACCACCACTGTTCTCCTTTATATACTATGGACACCAATAAGTTGCAACTATTTTTTCTAATTTGTCTTTCTACATTGCTCACAGTGTCCCCCACAATGTTTTTCTTTTAATTTTATGTAATCAAGTTTATCAATTCTTTCCCTTATTGCTCTTGGATTTTTAATCATACTTGGGAAATTTCCCTCTATTTCTGAGATACAGAGGAGTCACTCACAATTACATCTATTACCTATGTATATTCAATTTTTTAATTCATTTGAAAGTTATCTGGTGTGAGGAATAAAATAATTTTTTACTTTTATATTAACATATTTGAGTAAGACTTACATTGCTAGTTTTACAATCTGTATATATGTATCCATTCACAAAACGCTTTTACATTTTTGTAACTATTGAAATAAACCATATCCTCTCTTACTAGTGCCAGGTAAGACAGAATTAAACCAAAGACAACCGCTTCTGTATTAAATAGATACTTATTAATTAAAATTAAAATTAAAAAGAGAAAATTAAGACCAAATGGGAGTCTTACACAGGGTGAGTGCTCAGTATCTTTTTAATTGAATTTAATCCAGTCAGTGATTCTGTAGCTAGTTTTTGTTTCTATCCTTTGAGATTAAAATTCTGGAAGTGCATTAGGAATATCATCAATCATTATTAATGTTACCAATTTTTAAATTCTTTCTTTCATTATGTGACATTATGTGATAAATGTATACTGGTGTCTTCATGAAAAAAAATTAAATAGCTATCATAGCACAATTAGACCTTATACCAATTAGAAACCAAAGGCTATTTTATTTCTACCTGAAGGAAAATACACAATATTGCAAATAATTTAGGTTACATGTTAATTTAATCCTCCTCTGCTATGTGATGAAGGGATACTATGATATGTTCTGAAGAAACTGTTAAATGAATCAAAATTTCCAGATGAGAAAAGCAAAGCAGATTTTAAATGTCAGGTCTCCAGAACAACGAAGTCTTATTCTGTCACCTTAACTCTCCAGCATATAAGCATTCATTATTTAATAAATGACTTCTACTTTTATCTATAATAAAGAGAATGAGGAAGGGAATAGATGATGAACATCAATGGATAAGTTATGGTCTTATTTTGGCCACTGAAACCAACCTTCTCCTCAAGTAAAGTTTTTAATCGCAATTTGATCAAAAGAACAAAAACATGGTCTGAATTTCAACATTTTAATATCCTTCTCTAACTTTCAGGTAGAGATGTTAATGTGCTAGGAAATAAAGAAGTCAGGGAGAAAGATGGCAAAATTCCTAAATAAGATAAAATTTAATATTGGGTATTAGAAAACCTCACTTTAGAGATGAGAAAGTTAGAGCTCAGAGTCTGAGACCTACACAGTTACAAAGTTGGTTAATGGCAAAGTCAAGATCACGTTTCAGGTCTTCCGACTCTGAGTCAAATACTCATCCATTATGCTACTCTACTAGTCAGACTAGACAACTGGAATAATATAAAGTTGGCTCAATGTAAATATGTATTCTATATCAGCTTGGAAGTTAAACCTAGTTTTAAACATTCTATTCCTTTCTTTTCTATTAATTAAATTAATGAGGCATCTCAATATAAAAATCAATTGTTTTTCACCTCTGGCTAATATATATTTTTTCTCTACATTTGATCTTAGGAAATGAAGATTTTTCTAATGGAAAATTATTACCTTATTGCATATAAAACCCTCCATAAAAATAAAATTCTGTAGACATCACTTATAGTTAGGAGACTAAAAGGATAATTATACTATAGAATCTACACTAAATATATCGAGCATTTCACAATCATATTTAATTAATTTATACTATTTCAAATGGGAAGACTGAAATGAGGTCAAATTCAAGTTAAAAAAGTACTAAGTACCTAGTATGGAACAGGTGTACTGGTGCTAGAGTCTCTGGATAAATTACCAAACCAAAGTCAAAACAAATATTTCTAACCTTTGGGATTTAAGCTCATTTAGACCATACTCCTTACTGAAGAAAGTTGTCTTAGTGACCTCCTATACAACTAACTACTCAATTATTTTTGATGAAAATAAGACTTCAAATAGTTTTTCCAAAAACACAAAGATTTAAACTCAAAAAAATATTTCTTCCACGTCAATCACAAAAGGAAAAATATTGTATGATCTCACTAATATGAAATAGCTAGAAGAGGCAAATGTATAGAGATCAGAGTTTAATAGTGGTTACCAGGGGTGGAAGGAAAGAGAAAAAGATAAGCATTGTTTAGAAAGCGCTTAGTTTCTGTTTATGGTGATGAAAAATTTAGCAGTGGTGATTGGTGATGGTTGCACAACATGATTGTAGTAGGTCTCACTAAATTGTACATGTGAAAAATCTTGAACTGGCAAATACTGTTTTATCTATATTTTTAAAACAATAAAAAATATTTCTCCTAAAGCTCTTAAATTCCTGAGGCCACTATTTTTAAATCATAAGTAAATTGATAGCTGCTAACTTCCTCTTGTTGTTAGGTGCTGTCGATTTTCGACTCACAGTGACGCCATGTGACAGACTAGAACTGCCCCATAGTTTTCTAGGCTGTTATCTTCATGGGAGCAGATTGCCAAGTCTTTCTCCCACAAAGCTGCTGGGTAGGTTCAAACCACTAACCTTTCGGTTAGCAGCAAAGCACTTAACTGTTGTGCCACCAGCGCTCTTTAGATGCTAACTACAGCTTTGTTGTTGTTGTGTGCCATTGAGTTGATCTGACTCATAGTGACCCTACAGGACAGAGTAGAACTGTCCCATAGGGTTTCCCAGGCTGTAATCTTTACAGGAGCAGATCATCAGGTCTTTTCTCCTGTGGAGCAGCTGGTGGGTTAGAACCGCCAACCTTTCAGTTAGCAGCTAGGCGCTTAACCATTGTGCTACCACGGCTCCTTAACTGCAGCTTTATAAATACTGAATGCTAAGATCCCTTTGTTTCAATAACATAGCATTTATAATAGTCCAAAATGCTTTAGAGATGAAACCCACATCTCAGATTATTAGACTGAAATGAAAACTGTCCAAAACGATCTAAAGTTTATCTCTCTTCTAAGTTTGAGAGACCTCTTATAGGAAAATGGGAAATGTACCTTTCCATGACAGCCAGGCATTCCTTTCTCCAGGTAAATCGACTACCCCGTCTTAGTCGGAAGGTGCCAGATGTGGCAGAGACTGGGGGAGGTGTTTGTCTCCATTCTGGGTCCTCTATAGGAATAGGAGCAGGTCTCATACTTAGCGTAGCCCCTGAAATAAACAGGATATTTTAAGGAAACACCTTGCAATTTCTTAAAACCAATATGAAAAATATATCATGAAATCAAGAACAATAAACTTTTGTCCTTTCACTGAAACTTGCAGGCCCAGTACATTTGATATTTATATTAAAAAAAAATTGGCCAAAATAAAAATCCAAGTTATTTTTAGCCAATAATTCTTCCTTAAAAAGTCTATCATTAATAAAATATTTAAAAGATGTAATTTTTTCCAGTTTGTCATTTGTCTTTTTATTTTTTTGAATTTTTCAAAACAAAGCACAAATCTATCTCCTCATGTGAACAGAGGTGTATGGTCTTTGGCCGAGTGACAACTTAATGTATCTTCCTATGAAAAAGCTTCTCTTGAAATTCCTTTTTGACAGTTTTAATAATTTTGAACGATACGCCCTAATATGTTCAGAACCTTTCATTATTACTGAAAGGACCTTTTGTTGTTGAGCAAACAGAGCCCTAAAGAATTTATGCAGGTAGGAGAAGAATTTAAAATAACCCTAATTGTTGTAAGCACTTTTAAAAAAAATGTCAAATAAAGCATCAAACATAATCATATGTGATAACGCTTTTAGTCTAAGTCAGGTCTCCATACATCTACTACCTGTTGGTACTATTTTCTGTTACCTCTTCAATACAAGGAGCCCTGGTGGCACAGTAGTTAAGCGCTCAGGCTGCTAACCGAAAGGTCAAGAGTTCAAATCCACCAGTTGCTCCTTGGAAACCCTATGGGGCAGTTCTACTCTGTCCTATAGGGTTGCTATGAGTTGGAATCAATTTGACGGCAACGGGTTTGTATCTGTAACAGATATTTTACTAATTCAGATTAGCTTTTTCTCAAATAGCTTGAATAATGCATTTATTCATTCATTTTACATTTACTGAACCCCCTTTACATGGCTTACTCTAGGCTATAAGCTAGGAATAAAACAGGAAAAGCAACATTGTCTCTGACCACCAAAGATTTGTCTGAAAGAATTTTCATAAAACCTGGTATGCTTTCATAGAGCAATCCCTGGCTCCCTACTCTTCTTTCACTCCTTACAAGGTTAAACTCATCTTCCCAAAGCATACTTCTGATCGTATCACTTCTCTGATAAAAAATCTTCAAAAAGTTCTTACACTCTATGGAATAAAATCAAAATTCTTAAAATAGTCCTAGAAAGACAGGTTAGAATTTGTGACTTTTATGCACATATTAATAAATATAAGTATATCCAATCCTGATTCTCTTCTCCAAACCTGTTGTCCTACAGTCTTTCACATCTCAGTAAATGCCATCCTTATTCTTCAAATTGCTCAGCCCAAAAATCTGATTCATCTGTGACTTCTCTGTTTCTCCCACATACTACAAACCCTATTCATAAGCAAATTCTGTCAGTTTCATCTTCAAAATATGTCCAGAATCAGACCAATTTTTATTACCTTCACCGCTACCACTTTAGAACAAGTCAGCATCATTTCTCATGATCCTAACTTCCTGTGATAGGTTCCAAAGATAACCCTTCACAATTAAGTCATATGTCCTGGTAATCATGACCTTGTGAAATCTGGGCTGGTCCTGTAACATGTTTTTGATAAGTGGAAGTGGGAAAAGTGATGTTCTGTGACTTTCAAGGCTATCTAATAAGATGCTCTGTAGCTTCTGCCTACATCTCTTGTAATGCTGGCTCTGGGGGAAGCCAGCTGCCACATAAGAAGTCTGACAAACCTGAGACTACAATGTTATAAGGAAGCCCAAGCTAGCCAAGTGGAGAAGCCACATGAAGTAAAAGATGTCCTGCCAACACACAACTGCTCCTGCAAATCCATCCCGGAGCTGGATGTTTGAGTAAAAATGCCATCTAGGACATTCTAGCCTCAGCAGCTACATGTGAAGAACTGTAGAACCAAGCTGGGCTGCATGCAGCCATACAGTCCCGGTAAAGCTACATGGTAGCCAGCCTCCAAGGTGGTCCCTAATGATCCCTACCTCCTGGTATTCACACCCTTGAGTAGTTTCTTCCCATATTATACCAGGATTAGTCCCTGCAACCAATGGCATATGGTAGAAGTGATATATGTCACCTCTGGGATTAGGTTATAAATGGCAATGTGGTGTCCGTTTTGACTGTTTTCTCTCTCTTGGGTTACTTGCTCAGGGGGATAACCAGTTGCCATGTTGTGAGGACACACAAGCAGCCTATAGTAAGGCCATGTGGTGAGGAACTGATATCTCTAGCCAACAGGCAGCAAGAATCTGAGCCCTGTCAACACTCATGAGAGTGAGCCTGGACATGGGTCATCCAGCTCCAGTAACTGCTGTCTTCGCTAACAGCTTAACTGCAACCACATGAAAGACTCTGAGCCAGAACCATCCAGCTAAGCCACTTCTGGATTTCTGACCTACAGAAACTGTGAGATAATAAATGTTTATTGTTTTAAGCCGCTAAATTGTGGAGTAATTTGTTACACAATACGTAACTAATATAAGCCATCACAACTATGTCCGGCTGTTTATTCCCTCACATCCCCCAATACACTATTATGAGTATTATGAATTATTCATATTTATAAATTTGGCAGGCCAAATCTTTTTTTTTTAATATAGAGATTTTACTATTAGTGAGAATGAGCATCTCTTCCCGTTTATTGACCAGTATATTTATTTTTCTGTGAATTCATACCTTTTATCCCTTTTCCTTTTGAGTTATTCAAATTATTCTTAACGGTGTGTAGAAACCATACTACCTGCTAGTCATATAGACTGTAATTACTTTTTTTTCCAGTTTGTCATCTGTCTTTTATCTTTATTTATGGTGTTTTTTTTAATGTTAATTTTTATATAGTCAAATACTTCCATCTTTTCTTTTTGGTGTACGGGTTTTGTATCATTCAGAATATTTTTACAGTTTTCATTTCTATGTTTAAACTCTTAATATATATGTAATTTCCTGTGGAGTATGATGTAAGGTATATATTTAACTTTTTTCTCAAACGGACAACTGTGTTACCATACAATGCTTAAGAGATTCATGCCTTAAAAGAGGGATAGCAAACTACGGCCCTTGCAAATAGTTTCACTGAATCAGTCATGCTTATGCATTTACATATAGTCTACAGTTGCTTCTGTACTACAGTGGCACAGGTGAGTAGCTGTGACAGATCACACAGACCACAAAGCCTAAAGTACTGTCTGTCCTTTTACAGGAAGGGTATGCTGATCCCTGGCTTTAAAACATTCCTGGCCTATCCACAATGAAACTGTAAACTGAAATCCTTCTTTAGATAGTTCAAGAAAGGAGGCTCCATTCTGCCGAAATAACCTGGGAATTATGTCTGGGACTAATTCAAAGTTAACAAGTTTAGTTATAAGTAGGAATTAGGCAGCTGGATCAAAGTCTTTGTTTTGGTACTTCTATGAAAGCAAGCAGGGATTACAGCGTAGCAAGGGCTCTGATATATATAAGTTTGTTCTACAGCCAGGGTGAAAAGGTCCAAACACAGCCAAGCTGTTATCATGGTTGATCAAGATGGAGGTGGAAATAAACTTGGTAAGGTAGGAGGTCCTCTCATCCAAGGCCTAGTTTTGGTAAAGGGACGGAGACTTTCAGGGCTCGAGTGCGTGGACGGTGGAGAAGAGGTCACTGAATTCCAACTAGTAAGCCTCATCGATAACTATGGCACGTATTCTTAGGTAAGGAAGAGTGATAAATTGGTACAAACAGAACAGATAATACAACCAATCTTAACTGAATTTCTTTCTTTCATTTTTCTTCTCCGGTGAAAATGCTTATTAGGCTTTTGCCAATTCCTCTCTGCCAGATAGTATTTATTTATTACTGATGAATTATTTATGATTTATTACTGGTAAATTCAATGACATGTGACAATTTAGAGCCTTTTCTTAAGATAATCAATTTTTTACTAAAGTTAAGCTGTACACAAATTCGTGGCTAGTGCTAAAAAAAGAGAAGGAAAAGGAATCAAGAGATTAAAGGAAATAAGCCAACTGGTAAGAATGGTTCTTTCTTGGTATTGAAGATTACGGATAATATTTCTATGCTTCTTTACAACATTCTGTGTTTTCCAGATTTTCTATAAGAAAGAAAATTACATGAAACAAAATTGGTCAGGAAGAAAGGGAAGGAGGAAAGAAGAGAGAAGTAAATAGTGGCCTGACTGCCTTGAAAGAAATCAAGACAAATTATGCATAAAAGGTGGAAACTGAGTGATTTCAAACTAGTAAACATATTTAATTTAAAATATTATAACTTTACTTTTTAAGATTTTTTTTCCTGCTCCTTTTTCTTCTTCAATGCAGCAGTGGCTAAAAATAGCACAACAAACACTGGAAACACTCCAACAACACAGATTTGTTCTAGAAACCTTAGTTCATCTTTCTTCAGTTGCAACAGTTGGAGAGCCATGAATAATCCAAGGATAGGTTCAAAATTATTGACTCTGACAGAAAAATTCAAAGATACTAGAATGCAAGAATAATGTATTAAGACTTTAAATTCCTCTGAGGTAAAATATAGGAGTTCTGGGTATGCTAAAGATCCTACAGGAAAAGTATGCTACCTATGTTCTTTACAGAAACATGTTTTTCCACATTATATCTGGATTACCATTAAAAAAGAACTTTCCACATTCATCTAGCAAATCTTAACCCAAGAGAGGGAAAAAAACTCTTTGTAATTTCCTGATAAAGTTCTAAATTTTGGTAAATGTTCTCTTTGTACAAATAATAATTTTCTTGCTTCTCAGGGTTAGTTGTGGAGTGAGCCTTTACCAATCAGCTAATAAAAGAGTGACTACAAGCATGTGATTACTACTGCGTCCACAGAAACTGTTGTTGTTGTTAGGTGCCGTTGAGTTGGTTCCGACTCATAGCGACCTTATGTACAACAGAACGAAAAACTGCCCGGTCTTGTGCCATCCTCACAATCGTTATGCTTGAGCCCATTGTTGCAGCCACTGTGTCAATCCATCTGG